ATCAGTACCTTTCTATCCCCAGCATTTAGCATGGGGGTCTGGAAAGTGGTAGGTATTTAATAAATTTACTTGTTAATTGACTAACCACTTGATTTCATTGTTCAGTGGAGAGAGATGTCAATGGGTAACAATGGATTCATGTGCTACCTCATTTTTAAAGTATTAGAGAGAATGGTGGAAGATCAGGAACAGTTATCATTTAACAAAACAGGAAGAGGAGTGAGACTTTACTAAACCACATCCTGCTAAGAGATAAAACAAAAAAGGTAACAGAGAGAAAAAAAATTAAACAGATTGGCTGGTGGTTCTGTTACGATTTCTTCTTTTCCTCCATGATAATGGAACTCTACTACATTTGGTTTCAATGTTGAATACCAATAGGCAGGAAGACTGTTTTGACCTGACCAAAAATATGAAAGAGGAATTTGTGCTGGCAGCAACATAATTTTCAAGACATTTGGGAATCAATTCCAAAATATCTCACTGAGGAACAGATTCCAAAGAAGGGAAATATTAATACAGTTTTATTATTCAAAGTTTGTGATCCTGAAGATAGCACCAAATGAGATATTAATTGTAAAGCACTTAGCACAAGGCCTGGCACAAAGTAAGAACCATATAAATGTTAGCTGTTATCATTATTATTGTACTTTTATGAGAATTATCTGCACATGTTAAGGATATCACTGATATCGGAAATAAAGAGGTTGGTTTTGGTAAATGGGCATCCACGTGGTGCAGTGGATAAGAGCATTGGGCCTGGTATCTTCAGACCCTAGCTGTGTGACCCTGGGCAAGTTCCTTCACCACTGACCGCCTAACCTGACCTCCTCAGTTGTAAAATGGGGATAATAATAGCACTTACCTCACAGGGTTGGTATAAGTATCAAATGAGATAATATTTGTAAAATGCTTACAGCGCCTGGAACATAGTAGGCACTTAATAACATGGTTGTTCCTTTTCCCTTCCCCTACCCTCCCTCTCTCTTATAAATGGTTTTCCGTAGAGCATATCATTATAGTGACTCAGTTGACTGATGAGTGGAGTACACAGGATGCCACTGTTTGTTGTCTGTTGATTATAAAAAGCGCTTGACTTGGCAAATTTCAGTATTTACTTTAACAAGTTAAGATCACACAGGTACTCTGATAGATAACAACTACAGAGATACAAAATTTCAATCATTTTTCTGATTATCAATATCAAACAAAATTAAAATAAGAAGACATAATTATCAAAGATTTCACCAGTGTCTTGGAGGACATATTGGGCAATTTTCAAATAGAAAAGTGATTTCTTTTGGCTGCTTTTAAGGTAACCTTATGCTGATTACATTAAGACCTAGAATACTTTGGGGACTTCTCAATGACTTCCCTAATTGTCCAAAAGAAATTTGCCTAGTAGTCCAGACAAGAAAAACTAAGTAGGTGAAGAATATACATTATTGTTGTTCATTTCTTTCACTCGTGTCTGACTTCCTGACCCCACTTGGGATTTTCTTGGCAAGGGTTTGTTGTTTAACTCCTCCAGCTCATTTTGCAGGTGAGGAAACAGGGTCACACAGCTAGTACGCATTTGAGGCTAGATTTTAACACAGGGAGATGAATCTTCCTAATTCCAGGCACAGCAGTCTATCCACTGCTTCACCTAGCTGCCCTGAATATTGTCAACAGGCAGTCACAACATCACAAGACTTGTGGGAAAATCAGGTTTATTATGAGAGATATATGTATTACCCAGATCAGTTTCTATCATTCTATAATTCTTTTTTGTTTTTCCTTCTTTTTGGTGCTGCGTTATCAACTGTATCTTAGAGTCAGATAAGAACAAAAATGGATAGTTTTGTTCATTAAAAATTATTTAAAGTTAATGGTGCAGGTACTCTGTATTAAAGTCTTGTGTTTTTTGGAGAATATGTAGGGATGGGGGCAGCTAGGTGGCACAGCGAATAGAGTACCAGTCCTGGATTCAGGAGGACCTGAGTTCAAATTTGGCCTCAGACACATAACACTTACTAGCTGTGTGACCCAGGGCAAGTCACTTAACCCCATTGCCTAGCCAAAAAGAAAAAAAGAAGAAAAAAGAGAATATGTAGAGATTAGATGATCAGAATTGAATAACTTTTCTATTTGATAGCTTCTGCATAAGCAACTCTTTTATTTAAAATTTCATATAATCAGATAACCACATAAGAGAAGTTTCTAACAAAGGAAATTTTGTGTTAATGTTTTAGAGAGAGTCATTTGGGAGAACTTTAATTTTAAACATATTTATGTGAGAGAAGAATACTGGATTTGTACTTGAAATTTTTGAAAAATGATGCCTTATTAATGTCTTAAAGGTTTCTAGCTGATTAAACAGATTGGATACAACAGGTTTCTAGTGAAACCAAGGTTTTAGTTTTACTCTTCAAACAATCTAGGTTATGTTATTAACCTAGTAAAAATTTTTCATAACAGGTACAAAGATAAATCATTTTAAACCTGTCCAAGTTATTACAATTTTAAATTAGTTCCAAATTAATTAAATTTTAGGATAGTCTGTTGCAATTAGTTTTCCGAAAATAGATGTCAATTTTTTTCTAGTTAAATTAGCATTGTAAGAAAACCTGATATTAGGCTGTGCTATTCTGACTTTTTGAATATGAATATTATTTTGGCATTTTTCTTTCTCCCTTTTTTCTTTAAACTAATAATAATAGCTGCTATTTATGTAGTGTTTAAAGTTTACAAATTACTTCTCTTACATTATCCTACTTTTCAGATCCATTTTCCGAAGTCAGCACTGCAGGTGTTTCCCTTTTTACAGATGAGGAAGCTGAGGCTCAGAGAGGTTCAGTCATTAGCGATTGACCCAGGGCCATACAACAAGGGTTTGAACCCAGATCTCTCCTTTTTATGTTTTCTTTCCACTATGCCTCACTGCTTATGAAATCAAGGACCGTTATTGGAAAGGGGGAAAAAAAGGCTTATGTATTAATGAGTTGATATTGGTTCATAGTTTAGGAATTGCCATTCTAGGTTATGATAACAATTCTCTTGAAAGATTATTGGTACATAACATCTGTATAGGTATGCTAAAGCTTTGCCTTGCAGGGAGTTATATTCTGCCTATCAGATACTTAATTTGTCTCATGCTGGTCTGGATAAAGAGGATTCTCAAAATGATCATTATTGCCTGTGATTAAATTTTGCCAATATGAAACTGAAAAGTATTCTGAGGACCCATTACTACTTGAAAAGAATAATTCTTGAGATTTTTCATAAGGTTTCCTTGGCACAACTAATTTAAGAATGAGTTATACTTTAAGCAAATTATATAAAATTGACGTTTGGTACTACTCTGTATTCAAAGGATATTTTGGTGAATATAGAACACCATATATTTTCCATCTTTATTATTTAGTGTGTTTCTCTTCCAACCTTTATAATGAATTTTAGTGGAGAGGTACATAAATGGGATTTGTTTTGTTATTTTACTTTTCATTTAAAATGAGATCAGTAAAATGTGTATGGCTATACATCTGATTTTTTATCTCCAGAAAGTAAGAGTATTGTTGATCCCATTTTATTGTGCGTTGCCCTTGCTTTTTTGTTAACTGTTTTGGCATGAATCATAGGTTACAAGCTGCATGTATCTTTCAAGGTAGAGCAGAAGAATAAATTGGATTTGTTTTTGGATGTTTTGTCACCTGCCTGTGAGATAGGATGTCTTGTAAGCTTTATAATACAATCCTGCTTTGAAGTGCATGGTTTTCTTCATGTGCCCTTTATTCAATATATTATTCACTTATTCACTATTCTTGCACCTCTACTGTTTTGTGTGGGTACTCAGACATTCAAACTTTACTGCCTCTTGCCCTCTTCCCATATACATCCTCCCTGCTTCCTTCTCAGGAAGAAACCAAACCAAATCAAAAAACTGTTTGAGTCTTAGAGGGCCAACACATCACTATACATATTTTATATTTAGTTTTGGCTGTATATCTCCTGTATCGTACCCTGTTCTTTTCCACAAATGTGGACAGTCTGTGGGCTATAATAAAATGTCTTTCTTTATTCAATGGTCTCTTGTATTAGCCTTATTCTGCCAGATTCATAAGGTTACAGAATTTCAGAGTTAGAACTGACTTCGTATAGACCAAATAACTATCCCATTCAAGGATCCCCTCCATAACCTCACGGTTTAGATGGTCATCCAACCATTGTTTACACTAGTGTTAAGTGCCTGTATCACTTGAAGGTTACAAAGTGTGTAGAATATATAGTCTTTATTCTTTTTTGAGCTCATGATATACTTTCATAAATTCAGAAGACAAAATGAGATGAATTTATAAAAATAGTAGTAATGGGCTTTGTAATTGTATTTCATGGTTTGAATTTTGAAACTCAGCTAGTTTTTTCAGAATAGGAATAGCATAGACAATTACCTATCAAAATATTTTTATGTATATAAGGTAGTAAATAAATATGATGAAAAATTAAGTTTTTAGCCAGTTACAAATGTGATTTTTACAAACTGTTGCAGTTAAAATACAGTTTCTAGGTAAAAGGAAATCAGAGGTATATTTTTAAAATTTTAGAAAGTGATTTATTGTGAAGTCTAGACAATTTTAATTATAGACCCATTAAAAATTTATGTTATAAAAGTATGAAAGCATTCTCAGGAAGGTAGAATTCATGTAATTTTCATGAAATATTCTTAACAATTTATATTTCTCAAAACCTTTTTACACAAGAATGAAATAAAGCATAAAATGTTTTACTTAAATATCTTAAAAGCTAATAAGTTTTTATTTAACTTTACTGGTGACAGAACAAATGTTTTGTCAATGGCAATCAAGATTTTGGTAAAAACAGGAATCTTGCCTGTTCTTATTTTCTTTTTAATATTACACATATCGTGCTTGACTAATTTTTGCTTTGCTGAAGATCTGAATGAGCTTTGTATATGAGCGCCATACTAATCTTTATGCTTACTGTTTGAATGTTTGGTACAGGAAGCGAGCAGCTGCAAAGCATCTAATAGAACGCTACTACCACCAGTTAACTGAGGGCTGTGGAAATGAGGTCTGCACGAATGAGTTTTGTGCTTCCTGTCCAACTTTTCTTCGTATGGATAACAATGCAGCAGCTATTAAGGCCCTCGAGCTTTATAAGATTAATGCAAAACTCTGTGATCCTCATCCCTCCAAGAAAGGAACCAGCTCAGCTTACCTTGAAAACAACTCTAAAGGTGCCCATAACAACTCCTGCACTGATAGGAAAATGAACAAGAAGGAAGTACAAGGCCCCAGAGATGATTTTAAAGGTAAGATATTCTAGAACTTTAATTTTAACTCAGATTTATTTTTTGAATATTTTTGAAAGTGATAATAGAAATATTGTTACATTATTAAAAATATTGTTATATTATTAAAAATGATGGTATAATATAAACCCTTCTATAAAACATAACTGGCTTTGAAGGATAGCACAAGCATCCATGTTACAAGCTAACTGTGTTCTTTCAAGCTTTTATTATTATTATTATTATTCCCTAAATTTTTCAAGATATAACCCATAAAACCAATATTATAAATGGTAGTTAAGTTAGCAGGCACACCCACATGAATTTATTTAACCCATGTTGTACCTAAATTATGATTCTTGAATTGTACTCTTAGTTATAATCCTATGAACAGAGGGCCACACGATATAGGAAGATGTATTCTTCTGTCTTTCTTGGGTTTGCCTTAAACAAAATTTCAAAGAAATGAAGTTTAGTGCTCTCCACTTTGCCTTCTTGTACCTCTTTTTCCACATCCTTATGATCTTTACCTCACTATCTCAGATCCTATCTCACAAAAGTGCTCTCTTCTCTAGAATTAGCCAGTTGGTTCCCAAACTTTGTGTTACATCTGGATAAACAGTCTCTGCCAGTTTTAAAGAGTTAACTTTCGTAGAAATACTTGATTTTTCATAAAAGAATGTTTATTAATCCAAATGAATTGCAGATTGATGGGATGAAACAATAAAATGAAGAATTTTAGGCTGCATGTGGACATTAAAAAAAAAACAACTAATAGTCTTTCCTATAGGCAAGTCATCTTTACCTGGAAGTCTGCCTATCCTTGCTTTTTCATGGCTTCTTCCCTTCTACTTCTCTACCTATAAATTACTTAGATTATCTCGTAAGTCCAATTTTTTTTTTCATAATTGTTTTCGTGATAGCCAGAATCATTTGTATGCAGAGGCCATTTATAACTACAGTGTTAATAAGGTAATGACTACCTGTATATTTCTAAGGTCATATTTTTACCTCTTGTGTATCCAAATCTGTGTAATAAGTGAAACACACAGTATTTCCACAATTAAAAAAAAAAGAAAAGAAAAATTCATATAACATTTACCAGAAATAAAAATATTTTGTAGTTCCTTTGCTCCCCTCTGCCTTCTCCTCCCCCAATTCTTCAAAGAATTCTTCTTACTTTACTTTCTACTAATGTTTACTGGCTTGACAAAATTCTGAAAGTGGGTATGTTTTGTCCAAACTTCCCATTCTATAGGTGGAGAAACTGAGACCCACAGAAGACAGATTATTTACCTAAGATCACGTAGCTCATTAGTTAATATAGTAGCAGAATCTCACTTAAACTCAGGTTTCCATAATCTCAGACAAATGACAAGTGTTTTGTTCAAACTTTCTGAGAGTATGAGAAATGTTTTTCAATCTGATCTCAAATTTCATTACTTGCCTCTGAGAAAAATGTATGCTAGTATACACAAAGTTGAATGGCCTTTCCTTTAGGATTCAGTTCCCCATAACAAATTACAGGAATTTTGAAGAAATTTGAATTGCAGGATACCCATACCAATTTCCCTAAATTGGGATAGAAGCTCATTTCACTTCAACAACCCATATTAAGTACCTACTTTGAACAGTCTCATAGAGATAACCTTTTAAACCTAAATCCCATTTTCCCATGGTAATTAAAAAGTGTAGCATAGTTTGTGGGGTTAAACCTCCAAGTTCCAGTTAGTAAAGAATAGGAGAAAAAAAAATTTACTAGATGTCAAGCTGCAAAATCATTTCCAGAAATTTAATTACTATAACCTCACTGTATAACACTTAAGAGTAGAATTAAATACAAAATTAAGCATTCTTGCGTTATAGACCCTAAAGACAGTCTTATATTGAGGCCACAGTGTACTACGATTCCGTTTAAAAGATTCTCCTTAGCTACAGAAAAATTTAATATTTGACTGGTTTAATGTGGCTTTGCCCATTGGAATTGAGTTGTTTCTATTTTTAATTTACTCCTTGATTTTTTGCTTTCTCTCAGATTTTTTTTCAGTTGACTCTTCCCAACTCTATGTAACAAGTAAATTGCCTTTTTTTTCTTCCATATTTAACAGAAAGGTCTCTTTATTGTATAGTAATAATGCAGTTAAGTATAGTGCAGCAGGGCCATTAACCTCTTGATCTTCAAAGTTTTTTCTGCTATCCTGTTTTTCACTAAAGTAGGGAAAGGGAGTAGTGACAATAATGAAACAGTCCACAATAATGTGACAATAGGAGAAGAAGGGGAAAATAGGACAGAGAAAGGTATGGGAAAGAAGTATATGCTTGTGATTTATAGATTTTATAAGAAATAATCATTTAAATGTGATCTAGATGTATGAAATTAAATAAGATACAGCTAACATGTAAATTATTGAATAAATAAGAAAATCATAAAATCATAGAAATCATATGATATACTAGGGAGAAATCAACCCATACCCAGAAGGTCACAAGATAGCATCAGAATAAATAATAAAGTTAAACAAGGGAAAAGAAGAAATTTTAAAAGGATTTCTTTAGGAAATTACATTGTAATTTTTTTTAAATTTTAATAATTGATTTAAAAGACAAATTAGGTAAAAAAAAAAGTTGATGATGTTCAACCAGTAGATAGACTGTCCACAGTATTTTTCTAGATCAATGGAAAGAACAAAAAACATCACATTAGTTCTCTTTATGTACTTTAGTTTAGTTGATGATGTTTTTAAACATGTTAGAACATTTATCTTGCCAGTTTTGTGAAGACATATACTAGAAAGTAGAAGTCACATGCTTCAGAAGGCACAATGTATTATGCTTCAACCATGATATCGAATAGTGATGTTTCCTAGCATTTTTGTTTGCTGTTTTAAGATTACAAAGTGCTAAGTTTGCTTTGGAATATTAACTGTTTAAGTTGAAGAAATATGAGTACCTCTTTAAAAATTTTTTCATTTTCATTTTTTTGATGGTGGGGAAGAGGCCTTCCTAACACTGTTATTTGTTGCTGTGTCAATATAAACACTTGAGTCACTTATGTATAGCAAAATCTTGTTAATTCATATGGTTTTATTCATAATTTAGTCTTGTAATCTAGTTAGTCCAGGTTGAATTTTCCTTTTGTGCTCTTTTTCTTTCTCTCTGTTTCTCTCTCTCTCTCTCTTCTCTCTCTTCTCTCTCTCTCTCTCTCTCTCTCTCTCCCTCCCTCCCCCCTCCCTCCCTCCCTCTGTCCCTCTCCCTCTCTTTCTCCCCCCCCCCAATAATCCAATGAATCTGTGATCTTATCATTTTGGCAGTAATACACATTGCAACTTTTTTTTTTGGCCCATCCTATTCATGTTTTATCACACATAAATGTGAAGTAGGGAGGTCCATACAATCTTCCTCCTGTCTTCTTGATATCGTGGAGTTACAGGTCAAGCAGCACCTAGACTATCTTTTGGCTATCTTTCATCTCACTGTCTCCAACTTTTTCAATTATTTCTTTGATGACATGATTTATAACACTTTTCCTGTATAATTTCTTGTTTGTAATGTGTTTCAGTCTGTTTATACCCACCACAAACTTCTCCTGTTTCATTTTGGCTGATCAGCTTCAGTTCTTCAAAGCCCTATAGTATCCCATGATTTATAGCCATACACAACATTACCAGATGAATGTTTGTTTTTAAGAATTTAGACCTTTGTTTCAAGGAGTTGCTTTGCTTTCTTTAAAAGCTCTTTGTAATTCTGAAAGGCAGTACAGCTCATTTTCCTCTTACTGTTCATTTTTAGGCCCAGTTCATTGTCCCTTTTTAGTGTCTGTCTACAATATATGTGCTAATGAATGGTCTCTTTAGGCTATCCCTGCAATGGTATATCATAGTCTGAACAATGAATATTTGTCATCCATGTAGTTTTTTATGTGTGAATAGCTAAACTAAACTCGTGAGAATGATTATGAATCTAATTTAGTGGGCTATGCAATATTCTAGGACAGTGGTATCAAACTAAAGTAGAACTGGAATCCTGTGGACTTATTGACTTAGAAAACCACAAAGTATCACTATCTATAGTGTATTGGACTTTTATTTATTTTGTTAAATATTTCTCAGTTACATTTTAATCTGGTCCAGGCATCATTCCATCCTAGGAGTTTGACACCTCTGTTTTAGGATTTGATGTAATCAATGCAATATCATTCTCAAACTGGAGGACCTCCGCATCTGGAGAGGATACCTCTTCAGCTTTAACTCTGGACTGGGTCTCCTTTCTGAGAGTAGCAAACAGATGTCAGTGACAAGTATATATGTCCCCCTGGTTTTTTTGCCTTACTTGATAATAATTACAGGGGCTTTGAACGACATTAAGTTTTTCAGGAAATCTTGTATAAATTTGATAGGTACATGGGAGACATCTTGTTAGAGAAGAACCTTTTAAGGTGATGTTTTCCTCCATCAAATCTAGTGCTTTTCATATAATTAGCAAATGTTTAAATAGTAGAATTTTGTATTTCAGTTGTGATATTAAAGATATCTGTTGTGTAATTTTCCTTTAGAAGGCCTATTCCCCTTTTATACCCTTGTCAGAGATGCCCCCAGTGCATAGGTAGTTTATTCCCATAAAATTTTTATATAGAATAGAAAGCAGATGTGTGAGTTAGTACTAATTTATGATCTTTTGTCTAGTCACCTTTTTTTAAAAAAAAAAAAAGTCTGGTTTCTCACACACACACACACACACACACACACACACACACACACACACACACCCTTTGTTATTTTACACCTTTATCTTCCTTTCTTTTAGATACTTTGAGAATTGATCTCTTAGTGCCCTCACCATTGTGTTTTGCTTCTTTCTCGATTCCCACTGCTTCTGGAGAAGTATGTCTAGGACTGTTATGATAGAATCCAGATGTGTTAGCTCCACTATGGTGAAAAAAGAGCTTTTTTTTTCTTTTAAAAATCTTTATAAAAATCTTTTTTGTCTTTAATTTGTTTTTCTTACAATTTCATCCTTAAATG